ACCACTGGTGAACATTCATGATTGCATGAATTTGCCTGATCCTTTTTTAAATTCAGTTTCACAATTAGCCTCTGCAACTTGCATGGGCAGTTAGTTTCATGGCTTAATTAGATGTTATGAGAAAAGGTATTTCTTTCTCTTTGTTTTAAACCTGATGACTGATAATTGGAGTGCCTTCTAATTTTCATAGTGGGTGAAAGATTGAGTAATTGTTCCTTGTTTACTTCAGTTATCATTATAAACCGCTATTCCCTCCCCTCTCACCTGTCTCCTCTTTTCAGCTGGAGTCCAAGTCTAATTAGTCTGTTCTCATTTCAGCAAGGCTGAAATCCAGCTCAAAATAACTGCTAAGTGTAATCCTAGAAAACTTGTCCAAATCATACCTACAAACCTTTGAAGGTTATTGTGCTACTTAGAAAACTGATAGACATCTTTATAAGACCTGCTATGAACACAAAAAGCATGTACAGGGTACTCAGAGCAGAAGGATAAACCAATAAATATGTAACATTTTTTCTTATAATGTCAGTTTTGGTCAGCTATAATGTGAAACTGAATGTTCTGGTAAAGATTGTTTGCTTTTGTGAACTGAGGAAACTTGCATCTGGCACAGAAATGCCTGAGAAGATGTCAAGTAATATATGCTTCAGTTCTCATTTCTTCAGAAGAGGTAAAATTAGGAGAGACAGGACTTTAATAGGCAAAGTTCAACAGTGGGAGTTCTGTGGTGATCTGTTGTTTTCTGGCGTGGTTAAGTCTGGCTGCCAAGGAATGGACTGGGTCATTGCACATCAAGAGCTAAGATGCTTTGAAAGGCATTTAGAAGTATCTGAACGTAATTTAGAGCTGTCAAGATTATATAAAATTCTATTAGTAAATGAACCATGGATAGCAAAATGGATGGTTTAGATATGCTTCATTTGAACTAGGTGAATATCGAAATCCAACCTGGCTTTGGCTAAGTCACAAGGAAGATTGTTCTGTCCTTTCGTTATATTCTTGTCAGAATCTGGGCAGATTTCAAATGAAATCTGGACTTCTTCCAGATTTCACACATAACCATGGCACTGCAAGGCAGTATATATTCAAAATAATCTCAGCAGCCACAACACCTCTTTGATCAATATTATGTACGAAATTCTGTGCAAAACCTCAGCAGTGTCTTTGTTCAAAAGCTACTTTTCCACCTGACAGTAATTGTCTCCTACCTCCCATACACGTAAACTGTGTTTTCACTTCCCTGGTGGCTGTTGGAGAGCCAGAAGTTTGGGTTGCTCAGGGCACTCGCAGGGCACTGGCAGCTTGACCACCTGGGCTTGTAGTCCACCTCAGTGTAGACTGTTCCCTTCCAGTTTGTAGAAACTTTGGAAATACCAGGGAACTGGAGGAAAATCAGCTTTTGAAACATCTAAATCTTGTGTGAAATAAAACTGTCTTGTTTTACTCAGCTCTAATTATAAGGCAGATTTCAACTGAGCATTTTGTGATGTGCAGAAATTTAATAACCTTTATAAATCAGAACTTTAAGTTATGTGATGAGTCCCAAAGTTTCAGAAGACTTTTAAACTTAGAATATGAGTGTTGTCCAGGCTGTGTAAGGGGGATAGAGGGAAATTTCTGGATGGACATATGGTATCTTAAAAAGAAAATACAAGCTGAACATTTAGCTATGTGAAGAAAGACCACAGGCAAAGATTGTCAAAATAAGCAAAAATTAAGGGTGCGCCTTTTACAAACCCTGCTGACTAATGAATGTTCAGATCTTGCAGCTTTGCATGTGTAAAAATAGAACATGAGAACGCAAACAGTACCTGAAGAGTGATGGCTTTGTACTTGCTCCTCTTTGGCCTCCCATCCACAGGTGGAAAGCCTGGGTAGCGAGGAGTGGAGTGGCCCACCTGTGAGTGTCCTGACTTTGTTCCCAGAGGTGCTTAGTCCTGGCCACCTGGAGCAGGTAGGCATCTTTCAGGCAGCTTCTCTACTCTGAAGACAATACTTGGTGGACTTAACCTCAGTGCTTGTAGTTAAAAAAACACCACAAAAAGAAAAAAAAGAAAAAAGATGTACTTTCTTGCCTTATTTCCCCTTCATTGTCTTGCACAAATCAAGGGCAGCTTCATCCAGCCGAGTGTGAATTATCTCCTACCTAGTCAGCAGTGCTTGGAAAAATCTTACTACAGCCAGCAACTTTTAAATGGCTTAGTATTTTCCACATTATGAAGGTTATTTGTCCAGTGACTACCACCTGCCTCCTCCTTATCCTTCTTCTAAACTAATAAAAACATAGCCATTAATACATTTAAGAAACCTGGCAGTCCTTCCTGGATCTTTAAGAGATACTGTGCTACTTGGTCATGGAAAATTGATCCTGAAACTCTTGAAATTGAAAGAAAACTCCCTAGTGCAGCAAAACCAATCATCCAAGTGTTTATTCAGCAACAAATTAAAAAGTAATTCAGACTTTGGGATAGAGCCTAAATCACTGTTTTGTTTTTTGCTTTTCTAAAAGCAATTTAATGTCCTCGTTTATCTTAAAAAGTAACTAATAGTTACGTAAAAGTAACTTTTCTAACCTTCCTGTTCTGGAATTGGGAAATATTTGAAGGCACACATTTAAGGATATCTAGATCCTAATGTATCATTGGTGGTGGGATTTTCAGTCACCTTTATGTTTCAGAAGGCTGGCATGGGGAGCATCAGATCTCCATGAGGCTAATCTCTTGAGTAACCTTCAGCTGAACACAAAAGCTACTTCTTGCGGGTAGCTGAAAACAAAAATCATGAGGTTTCTGAAGTGCGGGGCAACTGGTGAATGACACAGGAAATCAGGCAGAAACGCACTGGCCTTGAGCTGTCATCTAGTTGTTCCTTAAGAGTGCAAAATGAATGTGCAATGCAGCTCAGGACAAACAAGTTTTACAAGCACTAAACATGGGTGTAAGTGATTACCAAGGCTGGATGTTAGCAGGAAATAGATCCTGATGTGGCAGCAATTTCTTAACTCCTCCCTTCTTTTCTGTTTACCTGGGTGTCAAGGAACAAATTGAGATACATCATTGGCTCACTCCAACCCCTGTGGAAATGCCTTCTATCTTGTACATGTGATGCTGTATTATGGAGCTGGTGACCTGCTCCCTCAATCTCTGTTCTGTTTTTCGTATTTGGAGCATTACAGGTGTGTTGCATGGTATAGCTATTGAGTAAAGCAATAAGGGAGGAAAGAATGAAAGCCAACACAAAGAAGTAGGAAATACATCTGTCAGGGAATACAGCCTTAATCGTCAATGGGATGTGCTTGAATTGATGTTTGTCAGTGCAAAATGTGTGTTCTTACATGCATCTATGTGATTCCTGGTTGGTTTTATTTCATTCATCTGTACAAAGATGTTGTTTACCCTGCAGCAGTGTGCCCTAGGTAGGTCTGATCCTCCAACAAGGAACAGAGTTAGAGACAGTGGGGCTGTGTATATAGCAGGAGACATGCTGGGGAGGTAGGACTGTTATCAGCAGTGGCTCATAATGCATCAGGGAAGCACTCAGAAATATCTGCAGAGTGCCAGGCCCTGCTGCTTCTACTATAATCAGAGGCAAGCAACAAGGTTTATTTTGGTCAGTCTGTGGCTCTTGTAGTTACAGATGATTCTGTAATTTTGGAAATGGGATACCCTCTTTATTAAAACAAAATCGCACAACTGTTCACCAAGTATGCACAAAGGTGTAGAAATAGTGACATGGAGCACAAAGTGCTTTAACATATAACTTCTATACAGTGACCATTTTGTGTATTAACGATTGTGAACTTCCATGCACTGAGAGGCAGGTTTTCCTTGCTGTGCTTGGTGCAGATCTCACACAAGGAGACAAATAACATCTATTGATTCACCCACCTGGTAAGTAATAGATTTTTCAGGCAATATCCCTGAAGGGAAAAAGAAGAAATAAATGTCATTTATTGCTTGCTAAAGATGTAATGTGGAGACAGTAGATCCAGCAGACATTATTCTTTGTTTCTCTTTTCTAACAGCTATACACACATTAGTAGTTTAAGATTTGAGCTTTAGTGAATTGCACTTGCAGTATCTCACGTTTAACTCAATTACCCACTAATTAGACCTTCCATTAAATTATGATCAAATCTCAGGAACTCCTATAAATATTAAAAAAAAAACAAAAACAAAAACAACTGAAACAGATTTCACTTTCTGTTTACATTATTTCAAACAAGTGTCACAGGATAATTCAGTCACTGGAGGGAGTCAGTTGTATCTTCTTATGAAATGCCAAAAACCTGCTATGATTTATCCACTGATGTGACAGGGAAAGTGGGAAATCAACCTCACATCCATTTTAAAGGCTCTGTGTAAAGGTTCGTCTGGTCTGGCCCATGTCACAGTCACTGTACACCAGTGTTCCGCCACAGAGCTCGTGACACTGCTCCCACAACAAAGGCTTTTCTGGCTCGTGCAGATCATTCATTAGAGTGGGTCAATACTCTGACCCATCACTTAAGTGAACTGGGGCATCACTTCCACTGCAGCTGAACTGATACATCCTTTCCTCATGGTATGCTGGGAGGCTGAGGATCCTGCATGAGGAGGTGGGGCACCTCTACAGGCAGAGACATCCATAGATAGCCCTAAGTCAGGCAGGGCAGAAGCTTTGAGGACTGCAGCCTCTCTGCTGCCAGTGTTCGCAGTGGTGGCTCCTGCACACCACATTGCAGAGAGGCACTGTGCAACTGCCCAGCCCTCTTTCCCTGCCTTTCCACCCCAGTTCACCCCTCTCTGTGTCCAGCTCAGCAAAGACCCATCTTCAGAGGTCCCTGGGGCTGGTCCACCCAAGTAACTGAAAATAATTGAACCACTAGCTTTTCAAGGGACTTCCCTTTGAAAATGGCTTTGTTTACATACAGCTGCTGCTTATGCTCAAAATGTACAAGCTGAAAAGGAGCATTTCTCTGCAGCAAGCTCTGGCTGAGAATTTACTTTCTTCCTTTGCAGATCCCCCTGGATCTACTCCATTTCCTCCTGCTCATTGTGCAATTAAGAACTGTGTTCATTCAACCCAGAACTGAGGCCTCAGTGGACCGGCACTTCATTCCTCTTGTGTCTGTTGTAATGGCAAGTCCCCACATTTATTCTCCCAATGCACTGCTGTACTGCGCTGGTGAGAAAGTCATTACCCTTCTCAGGGAATAGCCGCATGACATGGCATGCAGTTGTCAACAGCCTGAAAAGACAAAAAGCTGTTACTTTTGAAACAACAAAAAGAAATGGGAAAGCAGTTTCTGGAAGCTGCAGCAATTTCCTCAAGGACAGCTGTAAATGGCACTTAGTGCATACAAATAGGGGTCAGCGATGATGATGAGAAAGCCACAAATAAACAAGTCAACAACAATGCCAATGAAAAGTATTCTGCTGCCAAGAAAATACTTTATTTCTCATTAGCATAATCATTGCTTAGCATTTAAACTTAAATGCCACAAACAATTAAAAAGTTATGATATGCTTAAATATTTTGTCATTTTTTGGCGAGATGGCAGACTTGGGGAGAGTGGAGTATGAATGCCATCACTGCCTTGTTCTATTAATCTCCTTCATTTGAGGAATTATCCTTTTGCATCAATAGGCTTATGGCAGCTCCAAACCTCGTACAAACCAACATGATCCCCCTGAAGTGGAGGAAGTTGTACCAAGTAGCAACAGCAGAAGCTTTCAGATATTTAAGATGCTGAAATCAGAATCAAGGATTTTCACCACAGAGAACTTCATACTAAACTTTTTCCTCCCAGGGAAAGGCTGTGAGAGGCACAGGACTAAGATCTGGTCAAAGAAAATTCCTTAGACTGTTTTGTGTGGATATTGTTTCTTCTACTTCTTTTCCCAAACCTTACAGTGTACGTACACACATCCCAGGGACCCAGATGGCCTGTGAGCAGAAGTTTGGTGTCATCTTGGAAGAAAGTGAAAGAGTGAGCAGTTGGGACTTCCTCAAGCCAGAGAAAAGAGCAAGGACAGCATTTCCCAGTCTTCCCAGCTGTCCTCGAGCATTGCTTCTAAGTGTGTATAGAACTATTACATATCCCTCCAAATGTAACCTCAGATTCAGATTTAGGCAGTGAAAAATCTCAGTGAAGACAGTAATTTTTACCTAGCTAAATCCATTCCTTTCAGCAGAGGAAAATACGTACTGATGTTCTGAGATACAGTGATTGTCCTGGCTTGACTGCTACTGCTAAACCCTGGACAAGTGACATTCTTGAGTCTTTTACTGAACAGCATGTTTCTGCCTAAATATTGCACTGTCTGCTCTTAAGGATAGACCATGTTGTTTCCAGCATAAATTTAAGGGAGCTTTGCTTGTAGCTTCCCTGGGATTAAAGCCCTGAAGTTAAGCGAGTCATATATAACGGATCCACCTTCTGAGAAGTCCCATAAATTAAAACCAAGGTGCACTGGGGGAAAGTGGTCTGGCAGCGACTCAACCATCTAAAGGACCTTTCAGAGTCAAGTCCGTTCTTGCTTTACTGAAGGGGGCTGCTGGGGCATTACCTTCGAAAATCAGTTCTTCATCATGACAAATGCTTTCAGCTTAAAGAGCTATGGACTGTGGTAGGCACCGAACTGCTGCAGTGCTGCTTTGGTTTTTGTTGAGTCTGTTGGTAGCTGGTGGCTATAATTAGCAGAGTCCTTTATGCAACTATCATATCCCTGAGAGAAATCAATGCTGCAGCATTGTTTTACCTTCCTTCCCTTACTCAGACTTCTGAAATGCAAACGCAGCCATGAACAGCAGGCTTTAAATCATATTTTATAGAGCTCCACTAATGTATTATAGTGTTTCAGTTGTAGTACAAGATGGTGGGGAATAAAGATGTATGCTCATATAATTGCCTGGGGAGACCTCAGGGTTGGAAATCTTCAACAGATTAGATAGATGTTTATCAGGTGTGACACAGTTTCATTTATCCAGTTGGCTGCTCTAGAAGCCCTCCAGAGGTCCTTATTTTCCTATGATTCTGCCCATGTAGGGGATGATCATGTTACCTATGAGTAGTCTGCTAAACCAGAGGACTGATAAAGCTTAGTTGAGTTCTTGTGCGGATTCTCTTACATCTAATAAAGTGGATGGTTTTGCAATTCTTTCAGAAAAAGCACATAGAGAAAATTCTCCTTCCATATATTTCTCTGTTGTCATAAATCTTAAAGGTCTAGAACACCTCTGAGACATCCAAAGATTTGATTGAAATTGGGGCTGGTTAGTACAATAGTTATTAGACAAGGGCTGACACACCTATATGCAAGCAAGCAGAGAGAGTGATAGTGCCAGCCTTATGACACCATGAAATCAGAGAGAAATGCAAAGCTGATGCAGCAACTTTATCTGGCAGTTTAACAAATGACCACTCATGGGGGGGAGGGGAAAACAGGAACATAAGGATTTAATTATACTGATTATGGAGCGGATTTTTTAGTGCATTGCAGACATGATTTTGTGATAATCAGGGAATGCAAAACTGTTTAAGCTCTTTAACGTTTTCTCCATTAAAGCTGTTAGAACTGCCACTCACGCCTCTCCTGCCTTCCTCAGCACATGTGCATTAAGGGGAATCAACCAGGAAAACCCACTGGGATTTGATGTTCCTAGCCTGATTCCAGCTGATTTGATGGGTAGGGTGGAGGCCACTGGGAGCAGGCCCAGGAAGCAGATATTAATAGATTATTTGCCCATTCAGTGGACTTCTGTTGTCCCACCTTGCCCATTGATGGCTTTTGCTGGTCTCTGAGATGGAAGGTGGAGAGGCGCTATGCCTGTTTCCAGACTGAACTGGAGGCTTGAGATCTCGACTCTTACTCCAGTTCAAAATGATGAGGGAAATGTGCTGTCTGTGTGCTGCCCACCCTTCTGCCCTTTTCTGGGATGTTTCTGGGGAGCTGGAAGAGTGGACACAGCATGCTGGTGTGAATGGAATTAGCTCTGTCCCAGCTGGGCTGCTGAGCAGAGGCAGGGCACCAAAGAAAATACTTTCTTCTGGGGTTTTTGGTATGTTTGTTTTTAGTTAGCAGTCTATATGAAAGAAAAATAAATATGCAAAATAGTTTTTCCCTTGCTTTCTTAAACTCCCTGGTGCCACCCATTGTCAGTGTGTGGTGTACTAATGCTGATACAAGTCCACGGTAGCCGAGGTAGGTAATTTTAGTTTTAGTATTTCATGCATGGTCTGCTTGTCAGAGATCTTTTATCTCTTCTCACACCAGAACACGAGGGCTTTCCTTATGCGATGCTGGACTACTTTCTCCAGACTACCCATGTACAGTCACTCCCCATTGCTCTCAGTGTGCAGGCAGTGGATGCAAATGGTCAAAGATCCAGAAATCTTCAGCAGTGGATGAAGAAGGCAAGGTTGATACGCAATGGAAGGATGAGCCACTGGTCTCTGGATATCTTATTGCCTCGTCCCATCGCTGACTATTTTAGCAGATTGATCTTGTTTCAGGAGAGGTATAACAACTCTACAGTTCTCTGCTGGTTCCTGTTAACAAAACAGATTCTTGCCAGGAAATATTTTCTAATTAAAGGATAAAGGCACAAGGATAAAATCAAGAGGGAATCACTTTTTATTTCCTAGTCTTTGGATGCATGAAAGATGTTTTCTTAGCTCTAGAGTCAGGAAAGCCATATCTGTGCTGATATGTGTTACAATGACTTCATCTAGCTGCTGAAGAAAAGAGACTTCACTTCCTTTGAAGTTTACCCTTCTGAGCGTAGTGCTGGTACAAACAAATGAAGTGGCAGCTTTGCTGTTTGGAAGATGCCTCATTTTTGTCTCAGAGTTTCCTTCCTTTTTTCCTTTGCAAGCTGATGTAGTTAAGGGGATACAGAGCCAGTGTGAACTCAGTATCAGTAAGGCTCTAACATCCTGGTAGTAAGAACACTGTAATAACCCGAGTGGATGAACAGCAGATTTTACCACATTCATCTCGGATGGAAGAGGCTTTATTTCCCCTGGTGTCTCCACAGAGTGTTGTGGTATGAAACAAAAGGGAAATTTCACATCACCTGCATTGAGGCACTAGTTCAGATGCTCAGGTGAATGGACTGGCTCGCCTCAGAGACTCCTAGGTCTTCACTTATACTGCTGTCTTCTGGAGGTGACTCCCTCATCATGTCTACAGAGGGATGAGTCTCGTAACATGATTTAGCACTGCCCTTATGTACATAAAACCATACGTTGCATACACCCTACAGGACTTTTTCAATCCGTTCAGACTCCAGAATTCCTCTAGCTCCCTTGGATTGTTATTATTGGAGCCACTGCATCATATATTTTATATTTTCCAATTAATCTTTCTGAGTTCTTAATCAACAATTAATTTTACAGCATCATTGTGACTATTCAAGACTGATTATTCAAACTTCTTTATTTCATACATAATAGGCAGATGTAAAAATAAATAACTCAGCCTTTCCCAGCCACCTTGAGTCATCATTCATTTCATCCATTTTTCATTGTTAATTGCCCTGTCACTGCTGTCGTTCCATTCTCACTCCAGCGTATTAGGGGAAAAAACTCACCAAACAAACCTTCTGGTTTCTCCTAGCCCCTTTGCCTAACCATAACTCATTCTGGGGTTTAATTGCATTTTTAATTAAGGCTGCTACAACCCTATTGGTTCAGAGTCTTTCATCATGCTCAGTATTTTTTAAGCATGCAATGCAGTTCACACTGATTGGCAGGGACAGCCTCTTACAGAAGATGTAGGGACAGAATAGAGCATGTAACACTGTCTGATCTAAGAACCTGGGCAGGGAATAAGATGTTAGTTTACTTCTTAGCTGTCTCACACTTTGAGTTTAATTTAGTCACCTCATCACTGTCTCAGTGCTCTGCCTGTAAAATATCCTCTCTTATCAGCTAGCTGCACAATTTACCAAAAATACTCAGCCTCCTTGTGCCTTGGTTTAATCATCCTACCATTAATCAGCAGGTTCTTTGGCATGTGCCCTCCCTCACACAGGGACAAAACAGCCCTTGCCTGCCCCAGCACTAGCACTTTCAGAATATGCAGGATGCCAGGATGGCTTCCTTCTCTTGCTGCCCATATCAGCTACCTGCCCTTACCTGAAATCCTTATCTACTGCAGAGAGCCTGAGAACAGATGGAGTGATGTAGATGCCTGTCCATACCTAAACTTCCCCTTCCTCTACGCATTTCTGCATATCCTTTGTGTGACGCAGGATGCGACTACAAGCTCTGTGCTGCAGAGAGAAAACCTGTCTTGTCCCTGCTGAGCGTTGCAGTTGTACCACCTTAAGCAAAGCAGTCATACACCTTTAACACCTAGCTAGTCTAGAGAACACCTATTATAGGCGGGTTCAGTGATTCATTGTTACTTCACTGAACTTGACTCATGTCTGACCCTGTGTTAACATAAAGTTCAGGTTTGTGTTAATAGGAGCTGTGTTTAAAACAGTTGTAAGCGAACTCCCTTGACACTGTAGTCATTAAAAATAACATTATTTCATTTCTAGGAGTGCACAGATTTTAGCTTTCATATCCCAGCCAAATTCTAACTGGAGTGTTTACATTTCAGAATTGTTTATGTCATTTTTACTGGCAACTACAGTTTCATTTCTTACCCTAAACCCTATGGGGATGCTCATATGCTGTATACAGAATGGAGTTCTTATTTGGAAAACATGTTGAGAAGAAAAGACAGCATATAATGTTCAAGGGTATTTCTTATTAGTAATTGATATAGTCCTCCAACTGTTTCTGAGAGGAACTGGTATTTATAAAATGCTCTGAGTTTCTCTGATGAAATGTGAGCTGCAAGAATAGTCACTGCTTTTAATCACAAATGCACCTTATGTGTCATAATTACTCTGGCTCTAGATACAATAGATTTCACAATTCATTCAAAAAACTTAACCAGCTATATGACTATAAAGTAATTAGTTCAGTAAAAGCAAGATGCTCTTCTTGTAAAACAAGCGAATATATTTCATTTATTTCAGCTTCTTCAGGAAAACCTCTCCAGGAAGAAATTCATTACTTAAGTTCCTCACTGGCAACCAGGAGCTTCTCCACAGCCACTCAGCCAGGATCTGACTCAAGCACAGCACTCAAGGCATTGGTATTAGATCAGCCCTTCCCACAGCGAACCCCCTGGCGAGGCTCTGAGGAGCAACTGGTCACAGATTGGAGCCCACAGGTTCTCCCTGCTTCTTGGGGGCAATCCCAGTGAGGAGAAATGGAGCAGCTGCACAGAAAAATTTGAGGAATAATTCATAAATAACTTTAAAAAAAAAATTAGCATTTCAAAGTTAGTTTCCAGAGAAACCCTACCGCTCTGAGAGAGCACACAGCAAGGTCTATGCCTGTGAGTCTAGCTCTCAGAAGATGTTTACCCAACAAAAGTGTCAGAAATCAGACAACTCAAAAATGCCAAATTTTCAGTGGCTGTTGTTATTCCCTGGGGCCATTCATATCCAGTTTTCTCCGAGCAAGAAATAATCACAGGGTAATGTTATATAGATAACTGTAATATCAGTTCTTTCTCTTTCCCTTAAATGCATACAGGATCAGATAGGAAGAGTTTCAAAGCCCAGACAAACTTTCTTTCAGGCAGCAGAATACCAGGATAGGAAATGTAAGTGAGGCTTATGCATTCATCACAGCTAGTTTTTCTGAAGTTGTGTAGACAGTAGGTGTGTTATCATATCTTATATGATCATGCTTTGTGAGAATTTACTGAAGCTAATCACCAAGCTCCCTAGGTTTCTCACTGAGAATCACTACTGAAGTACAAACCTTAAACTTTCCTTACCAAGAAAAAAAAAGTGGGATGAGGAATATATCATTATAGGCAAGCTGCTCTCTTACTAGAAACTAAGTTTAGCTCTAGATAGAGCTGTCTATATAGACCCTTATAACAGTCTTCCAATACCTAACGGGGGCCTACAAGAAAGCTAAAGGGACTTTTTATAAGGGTCTATAGGGATAGGACAAGGGGGGATGGCTTTTAACTGACAGAGGGGAGATTTAGATTAAACATTAGGAAAAAATTCTTTACTATGAGGATGGTGAGGCCCTGGCACAGGCTGCCCAGAGAAGCTGTGGCTGCCCCATCCCTGGCAGTGTTCAAGGCCAGGTCAGGTGGGACTCTGAGCAACCTCGTCCTGTGAAAGGTGTCCCTGCCTGTGGTAGAGGATTGGAACTGGATGAGCTTTAAGGTCCCTTCCAACACAAACCAGTCTGTGATTTTATGATTCTATGCTGAACCATAGGCTCAGTGACTATAAAGCAACAGGTGTTCATAGTGTTTTGGCTCATCAGACTTGGTGCTGCAGAGCGGAAACACAGGAATTGTGCTAGTTTCACAGGGAGACAACATCTAACAATGTACCTGCAGGTCTTACCAGGTCGGGCATGAAGCCCTCTAAAAATCGCCATATTGCTTCTACACCCAAGTTTAACACCTCCATACATGCTGCAGGAATCACAAATCAGCAGGAATCACAAATCAATCTTTGTGATGTTGTCCAAGATGGCAAACCCAGATGACGTATGAAGAGTTTTAGTTCTGGTTTTAAAGACTATTTCTGAACTGCTGGGACAGATAGATGACAGCAGGATATGTTAAGTAAAATTTTTGACCTCCACAGTTTTGGAGAGAATAGCCAAGTTTATTAATATTTCTTAGAATGCCACCCAGGCACTTTTAGAAGCTTTTAACATGTAATTATTTTTAGATTCCTGTCAACGGTTCATTAGTGTCATTAATTTCTTTTTAATCCCTGAATTTCACAACATTCACATTTACTGATACATGCGTACAAATGTTTTCAGCTGTCCCCTTTCTACTTTTTCTTGATAGTGAAAAAGTTGCTTTCTAAGTGTTTTTCTTTTTTTCATTACTTTTTTTCTTTGAAAGAGCATTTTAAAAGAACTGTTCAATACAACAATATTTATTAGAAAATTATAACCCTTGCAGGCTTTTGAAGCACCCTGTAGAGTTTAAAGGAGAGTTGCATCTTCTGGAGAATGAAGTCTCAAGAGTATTGCCAAAGGATATTCATAACAGTTCAGAGGTTTCAATAGTAAATTTCAGTAGAATATGTCTCTCATTCTCTAAAAATTTTAATAAGGCCTCTTGGGACAATCTTAGCTCACTCTGTTGGTGGATTTGTGTGCTCCATTGCCTTGAAAGATTATGGTCTGAAGGCTAGATTGTTACATGTCCAAGACCCTTCTTCCCTTTATATTATGTAGGCAATATTAATGGGCCTTAGCATGAGCATGTAAGCAAAAAAGGAAATCAAGTACTATCTGTGTTTGACAAGACACAAATGATGCACCTAAGAAGACACATGGATGAGGCTTTCAAAGTCAAGAGAAGGAACCATTTCTTTGGCTTCAGTGGGTATTGAACCAGGCTGTTTCCAGAACGAAATGGTTCTTTTCAACTTTTCCACCTTTGAGTGATCTCTCTTTTCGCTGCTTCCTGTCCTTTGCATGTTCTTTGCTCATCTATTTTTAAATAACCAGACAGACACACTATTATAGTTCAATTTGTTCTTCAATATTGATTTTTTAGGTTGACATATGATTTGCTCTCACTGCTGTTTGCAGTGACAGATCTTTGGAGCCAGAAGCTCTTGATAAAAGAAATTGCATTGTTTCATTGTCTGGAAGCCAGTAGGGCCAGGCAGGCCAGGTCACCTGAGCTCCTTGCACTGGAAATTAGCTCTACTTACATGACGATTGTTGTGAAAGTCCTAATTAGATTTGAAATATCTGAACTCATCATTATATGGTACAAAATGTGCCAAAATGGGAGACGCTGCCTCACCTACCTTACGTAAAGAATATTATCTTTTTCTCTTTATACCAGACTTTGAAGTTAACAGTTTAATTAGGTTAAAGTTTCAAGTACAGACAGAGCTGAGGTGTGATTTTTACAGTTCATTCCTGACTAACAAGGGGAACTATTTTTTTCTGAAAAACAGATGTCCTGAAGGGAAAATATTTCCACTGCATTATGTTTCAATTGGTTTAAACGTAAATCTAGCAGTGGCTGAACTCCTAAAAATGAACAGTATATGGTGGAGAGGGGGTGCAGCTCTGCTCTTCTCAGGGATGGGGCACCCACATCTAAAATGCAGGTGGGACAAACCATCTATGTTGATTTTGTTTACTAAAATCAATTCTGGGTAATGATCTGACCTTATGCATCTCTACTGCCCATTGCCTTCATGCCCTGTCACTACCCAGAGAGCAAATTAGGGGCCATATCTGAGCTAATAAAATGTTAGAAGTGGACTGGAAGAAGAGGAAGAAAGGATCATGGAGGATTCCCAGCACTGTGGCTGTTACTAAGGAAATGCACATCACCAGGAGACATGGTGGGAGAGCTGAGGTTGCCAGGGGATACAACAGCTCCTTCATGTCTCTCCCCATCTCTCTACCCTGTTCACACACTGAATGTTGTAGGTGTACCCAGAGGGCATTAAAGCACAGCAATGTCTTACTAACTAGAAAATATCAGTATGATGTCAACAGCCTCTTTAAGACTCACGTTATACTCTTCAGTTTATTTTTCAAAAAACAAGCCTCAATTTGGAGACAGCTATCACAAGCGCTCGAGTGGAAAACCAAACCTTTTAAGTGATGGTGTTATTGTGATATTGTGATACAGACAATGAAACAAAAAAACCAACAACCCAGCATCTGGTCAATTAGCATCTTCCCTGTAGAAGCACAACCACGTAAATATCTTTTATACTAATAATCTTTTTTCTTCCTTTCTTCCTTTCTATGGTAAGACCACAGAGCAAAAGAAAAATTACAATTGCTGAAATTCCACTGCTGTTTATATGGAGTAAATAGCACTTCATATATACAAGCATCATTTGTAAAATATGAAATAGAGACACAGTAAAATTCTGTACTATCCTTAGCTGCAGATGAATCATTTTCCTCCCAAATTTACAGTATGCAGTAATACATAGTGAAAAGCAAATGAGACAGATTATGCTACAGGAACAAGAGGAAACTAGTCAACAACTACATCAACTATTATATTATGTTTAATAGCTTATATAAAGACATACTGTTCTGAAAGCATGCCAGAGGGTCATAATTTTCACAAGAAGACTACACTGAAGCTATACACTACATAAGGACTATAGTCTGCAGAAATGCTAAACTGCACTGGAAGGGGTGACATTTAAGTCTAATTACAGACAGGTTTTCAAACTCAGCAGACAATGTAATTTCCTTTGTAGTTTAGTGAGGCTATATTTAAAATCGTTTTCTTGATTATTCTACTTTCATAACCAAAACCGTTTCAATATAAAATGATGAAGTGAAAATTCAGTTTTCTGCTTTAATATCAAGCACAAGAAATACATCTTAGGAAGTTCATTTAGGGGGCTGGAGGAGACACATTTTCCTGCTGCAAAGCATCGTGCCATTTGTCAACAACTTAAGATATAAAAGAAGTATCCTGGGAGCAACCTCACGAAAAGTATATTGCACAATTGTACGTAAAATGCTGTGATATATATTTTTCATAAATATTTAATGCTTTTGGATGGTTACGTTCAGATATTTTTTTCAATCTGAACTTCCCAGAAGACAGGCAGGATTTATGCGATCCCGTGGTAATAGTACATTTTGTTCTGCTAAGATAATGTCTGCCTATCTATCACAAAATATGAATGGGAATGTCTAAGCAGAAAGAGCCGCTGGCTAAAAATTCTGGAGCGCCTACCTTCAAGTTTCTTAATTGGTTTAGGGAACTAACCACAAGCCACTTGGATTTCCTAAGCTGTTATGGGTCCTCCTGTGTAATGCTCTTTCAGGCCTGTCATCCCCTTTGCCTGTGGAAAGTCCTACATGGGCCACATATGAGAGGAGGCTTCTTGCCTGCAGCTGGGGTATCCCTGCGGTATGTTGCATATTTCCACCACAGCCTGGAAACCACAGTAAGTCACTAAGGGCCAGTCCTGCAAAACGTGTTATCTTGGAAAGTAAGAACTTCACACTAAAAGGACTTTTCATCCATTGATATTTAAACTGAAAACAACTGCTCTTTCTTGCAACAGACAGGAGCCTTCAACACTGGAGCAAGGGGAAATGCAGCATCCAGGACCCTCAGTGCTGAGCAGCAAGAGCCACCAAGGGAGCCTCAAGCCTTCACCAGGCGTTGCCCAGGAGCCGGCAGCACACTGAGACAAGCAGGGACTCACACAGGCAGGATTTCCCCTTAGTGAAGCCATACTGGCTGTCACCAAGCACCCTGTTGTTTTTCATGTGCCTTAGCATGCCTTCCAGGAGAATCTGCTCCAGGATTTTGCCAGGCACAGAGGTGAGACTGACTGGTCTGTAGTTCCCTGGTCATCCGTTTTCCCCTTCTTGTAAATGTGGGTTATATTTCCGTTTTTCCAGACACCAGGAACTTCACCTGACTGCCATGGATTTTCAAATATGATGGCCAGTGGCTTAGCAACTTCATTCGCCAGCTCCTTCAGGACCCTCGGATGGATTTCATCAGGACTCATGGACTTGTGCACATTCAGGTTCCTAAGATGGTCTCGAACCAGATCCTCTTCTACAGTGGACCTAGGGTCTTCATTCTCACAGTCTCTGCGTTCGCTTTCCCGGACTTGAGCAGCACAGCTACATTGAGTCATTGAGAACCTCAGCCTACAAATCAAGGTTAGCCAGTTCTCCTAATAGCTTCAGGAGAGGGCCCACATTATCTCTGGTCTGTCATTTGTTAGAGACATACCTATAGAAGCCCTTCCTGTTATCTTTCACATCCCTTGCCAGACTCAATTCTAACTGGCCCTTATCTTTCCTGACCTGATCCCTAGCTTCCTGGACAATGTCCCTGTATTCTTCCCAGGCCACCTGTCTCACTTCCACCTTCTGTAAGCTTCTTTTTTTCCATCTGAGTATTAGCAGCTCCTTATCCATCCTTGGAGGCCTCCTGGCCTTCTTGCCCCATTTCCTTCTTTTCGCAACACAATGATCCTGAGCACTGGTTATTGCCATAACAGCAAAAAAAACCACCAGATTTTGGTGGTGAGGATGCTAGGGGATGTGTTGCTGGTTTTAATCGCTTCATGCATTT